GGGGGGGGGGGGGGGTGAATAGACTTTGTTACAGATTTAAAAACTTTTTCGTTTCTTTTGAAAACGTGAAAATAAGTGTTAATCTAGAGTTCTTGTGAACTGTAGATTGTGTGCGGAATTTGGTGGGTAGAGTGAGGAGTAATCAATATGGATGTGTTAGTTTTCACAGTTAATATAATTGCAAGTGAAAATAAAGATAAGAGAGAGAGACACGCAAACTTTAACGAGGTTCGAAGGTGGGGTAATCCTTCTACGTCCTCAAAATCCACTATGTAGTTGGTTGTTGAATAATGAACCAACAATTACACTTGTGTGAATTTCTACACCTTATATCTTCGCAAGGCCAATGTTGCTACTGCACTCGTGCTGGCTTTGTTGTTCCTTCGAAGGTCACGCTTCTTCAACAACTGCAAGGTCCGAACAATAGGACTTGCAAGATCAACTTGTAAGAAAGTTGACCTACCCCCTTTCAATCAAAATGTTTGATCAAAAGTTGTATCCTTCAACGTGGTGTGGTACTTGAGGCAAGGAAACCTTCAAGTGTTTACACTATAGCTCTTTGGAAGGAGGAGAAGTTTGCTTCTAGATATGGAGTTTAGAATTCTCTTTTTATCAAGCTTTTTGGGCTAAGTGTGAATGAGATAGCTTTGTTGTTAGAGATTGCTTTGTTCATCTATATTTTTCTCCAGTCTTCCAAGGATGCTATTTATAGCTGGATTGGATAATCTATCCGTTGAATCATAATAGACTATCCGTTGCATTTGCTGGCTTCAATTTTGAATGAAGATTGTGATTTGAAGATTCTTCGTTGAAGTGGGTGTTTGAACGTACCCAATTGTTGAGAAGGGATTCCTCTTTCCACAGAATCCGTCTTCTAGCTGTTGTTCAAGAATTCAAGACTGTAGCACTTTACTCTGTTTGTCTTCTAGTGCTTGTTTAGGAATTCTGGACAGGCTCTTTAAATTTAGAGGTCCAGACTTTGTCTTCGAGTCATTTGTTCTTGAATCAGCATAATTATCTTCAATCTAGCCGTTGAAAATCAAGAGATTGATTTTTCCTTACCAACGGGTAGAATTTCTTCATTCAAGACTTAGATAATTTTCTAAGTCTTTTCTCACTTGTCTGCTTTCTGAGAATTCCGGTCTTCAATGAGTCTTCCGATTCTTAGCTGACAAATCCGGAGGAGTCATTCTCAAACTTCCAGGTGAGAAAACCGCGCTAGTCTCTTGACTTAGTCTTCAGCGTGTTGTAGCGAGACATCCGGTTCTTATGTAGTCTTCCGGATCAGAGGATTTTCATCTGTTTGAGAAATCCTTACTTGTCTCTGACATTTCCGATCAAGATATCCAATTTCCATATCACTGAATTTGATTAAGTCTTCAGGCATCAAACCGCTTAAAGAAATATCACAACTTTATTGAAAATCTCAAGAACTCGGTTTTGACAATATTTCTAAAAAGAAAAATTACATTGAATATTGGGGGAGACCTAAAGTCCCTATTACATTCTAAATACATCATCATCAAAATCTATAATATTTTTCCCAACAGTTCTTTATTCTTTCCCCAAATATTCTTATACTCCATATATTCTTTGGTTTTTTGAATGTGATGTCAAATATTCTGTGAGGACTATTTGTGTGCTTAGTGACTTCGAAATCAATTTTTGGTTTTAATGTTCTTTCGGGTGATCACATGGTTTTTGTGGTCAATTTCATCTCACTGAAACCCTCAAGGTATTATCCATCTCACTCGGATAGTACGTCTCTGTCTTTGTACTTTCTTAGGCTTTGGTGTTTCTGTTACCAGGTCATCTACCTTCATATTATTCTTAAATTGTGCCTTAATTTGTCACATATCCCTTTATTGTGTGAGTGAGATGCTTGCCTCTTAATGTCCTTTTTGCTTAATCCGTTGAAGACTTGAAGTTGTAGATTGAGTTGCTTAATGTTCTAAATTGTACTCTAGCATTATTTTTTTCAAGTTAAAGCTTTGCCTCTTTTTGTCTTTTTTTCTCTAAAAAAATGTCCTAAAATACAAAAACAATACTTTTGGGTTTCTTTATGTATTTTGGAGCTAAAATACATAAAGATCAATGTATCCTTTGTTGTTTTGGTTTTATCCTTTAATGCCTTTTATCTTTTTATTCTTTTCTTTTTGTAGCATATTTTTAAAAATGATGTTGCAATATTCCTTTTCTTAATATTGATTTGTATTTATTACTTCTCTGGTATTGATTGAGGTTTTTCTTAATATTGAGTATGATTTATTGATTAGAGGTAGAGCTGGCAAATCGGTCAGACGTTAGATTGGGGATCAGTTACTTTAAGTTTGGGTTATTGCAGGTTCGGGTCAATTCAGGTTCGGGTTGAAAAGTGTATGTTCATGACCCAGTGTCATCGGGTTCGGGTCGACCCAACGGGTTTTGAATTTGATTTTTTAAATTTTTTAATTCACATTAACACTTATATTTTCTATTATATAAATTTAAAATATCAAAAAAATGTATTAAATCTATAAAATTATTTTATTTTAAACTTTGGAGTAACTTTTAGATATATAAATCAATATAAGGAATTTATATATGCTAAAGTTTTGGAGAAAAAAAAGTAAGATAATTATCTAATATCATTAAATTTTTGTCTGAAAATATAAATTTATACACTAAAAACGAGTAGTAAAGTGTATAAATTTGAAAAATCATTACTTTAGCGGATCGGTCAGGTCGAGTTCGGGTTCGGTCAGGTTTGACCATTTTTAGCGGGTCATTTCGGGTTCGGTCATCAAAACCTTTGTTCAAAACTCAGTGTTTTTAGGTCGGGTTCTGGGTCAAAAACAGATCGGGTCAACTTTGAAGCACTCATTGAATTGAGGCACCCTCCAAGAATTCAGAAATGTGAACAAACAAGTTTACGGGGGTTGGGGATACACATCATAATCAAGGTCAAGTTAGTAATACACTATGCTTAGGTTCTCGAAATCTCCAAATGTATCAAATATTGATCCTGTGAGCCCTATGTTGAACGACAAGTTTCCAGTTTGCCTTCATTCATAGAGTTCTCTGTAATGTTTTCACACTCACGTCTTAACCTTTTCACATTTCAAATCTGTTCACGAATCCACCTCCGGTGTCAAAACAAATTTGGTTGGGTTTCAAAAATTGTTGATATACACTGCTTTGTCTACTGATAAGGGTTCTTTTCTTCATGCAAGAAGTGTGGATAGTTGTGTACATTTATCCGAGTAATTTCTTTTCCAAATAAAGTTAAAAGTTTTTGCTTCTTTTTAAATGGAAGTTTTTCTTCTATTTCTAATAATATTTACTTCCTAATAATATTTACTTCCAAAAATATTTGTGGCATGTTATTGCTAGGCTGTTCAAAGATGCTTAATTGTTCAATTAGGAAGCTGTTTGGAGCTATTCTGAGGCTGTTGGGCTATTTGAAACAGATTTTTTATTGTTCAAACTTATTTTTGATGTTCATATAATTTTTCAAATTTTTTTGTGCTTATTTTTAGTATGACTCGGTGGTCGTTTGGTCCTAATTCTTAGTGCGTATGATGATGTTTTTATTTTTGATGTTAGGTTTGTTGAAGAATTAGTTGCTGCTAAACAAATGGATATCTTTGACAAATGGATGAGGTAATTGGCGTTAATGCATTAGTGATTGGAGCCTATAGTTGTTGATTGTTTCAACTTATTTGAGGAAATGGGTGGTTTTGATTTGATAAGATTTTTAAGTGTTCCTACAACCAATGGAGGTCGAAGATACGATCATGCCCGACAAGCTTTATAGAGATTTCATCTAATACGGATTGGCTTTTAGTGATGAAAGATGGCGGGCAGTTCTAGCCCAAGATGGCAGCGATTCCATAGCCAGAAGGTTATTGAAGCATGCTAAATCTAGCACATAGAAATATGAGTTGGAAGTACACGCCACATAAAGAATAGCACTGAACCAAAAATGGCATCGTCATGCGTACCACCACCACATTTAGAGCCCAATTCTACCTGAAGGTGGCTTCAGTTTCTTTTGGGATGAGAGGACTCAACCACAGGCATGTCTTTATTCCTTAGAGATAACAATATCTTCTTTGAAGGAAAGTAAACCACATCTTTATATATTGGTGTTTAATTTATCCCATCCCTTATACACTAAAAATTGTGATCCAACACAATGAATATATAAATCACAACAATCATTTTTGCAAAATGGTATGAAACTAACCTAACAGAATTCAGAATCAGAACTTTGAAGTAGTATTGCAACACATTAACTTATATGTTAGTACATTACATAGTTTTGCATAGATACCTTAATACATTGGTTCAATAAACTCCGTTGGATCAATCAAAAAACTGGCATTCTATTTGTTTTAAGCTCAGTGTCTTTCCATTGTAATTTAATAGGCCTTTTAAAAGTACACTTTATTGGAGTAGGGTTATATATATATATATATATATATATATATATATATATATATATATATATATATATATACATATATATATATATGTACACACACACACACATATATATATATATATATATATTTGGTTTCCAAATTGGGTTTCTAGAGAGATGGGGGAGATACCACCGGCGGTGCACCTTTGACAACGCCGATCATTTCAGAGACGTGGGTTTCCAAAATTCGCTTAATCAAAATTGGGGTTTCCAGGGTAGAAGAAGACAACCGCCGGGGAGGAGAGATGAATCCAAGAATTTCAGAACAACATGGCGATCCAGATCATATCGTTACCAAGGGCCATTTAACAGCGATTCAGGCGTTTCAATTTCGATTGAAAGCAAGGTATTCAAATTCCATATTGCCGACAATCTTATAATTTCCGAATCCAAGAATGGTATGTCTAGATCTCTCTCTATCTCGCGTTCTTTCGCTCTTTGGCTTTCAGAATCCCTAAGCCACCCACCTTTGGCTAGAGAGGGATGGGTGATTTCAAAATTTGAAGGGAGTGCAACTGTAAAATCTCACTGGGATTCAAACCAGTTTGGATGTTTCGTTAGATTCAGTGCAGGAACCGATAGGGAGAAGTCTACTATCTGCATACCAGTTGGAAGAAATTCAGAAGGCATTAGGCTTTTTGTAAAAGGATTGAATGAAGTTTTAAAATTTCAAGAAGGAACTGTCTCGGCAGAAAAGGAACTTTTATCTCCATGGAAAGCAGAAACTTCAGTTCCTATAGATTTCACAGACCAGATGCTTCAGGTGGAGAGGGTAGGGGAAGAACATTTGAGCTATCCGTCCATCTCCTCAAGTCTTCTACAACGAGATGTTACGCAGGGTGCAAGGATGACTAGCCTCTCAGAACATGAGTTGAATGATGGGTCAGAAGAGACTAAGGAAGCTGAAGATGAAGAAAAGAAGATCCAAATGTTATTTCAACCAGCTTTTGATGCCTACTTCGAAACAATCTTCAGAGCAGTGGAAAAACAGGTTCAAGAGGCTCTGGCTAGGACATCGCTACTGGATAAACTGAAAATGGGGTTTTTCCAAAACATGGCGGGTAAAACTCTTCGAGCAACACGAGAGACGGTGAAAAGCATGGAAAAGGTGACCCTAGTTCAATTTGAAGATACTAAATACACAGCTTTCATTTCGTGTTCCAAAGCTGATGAAAGGATTGTGGCGGAGTTTCTAACAGGGGAGCAGGTTGAAGAGTCACAAGATAATTCTGGTTAAAGTTTAGTCTTAATTATGTTAATGCATCCAGGATTACATGTTTTGATGGTTGTCTTTTGTAGATCAAGCGAGGGCCAAATGAAGCAGGATTAATCTTGTCCTTTCAGGGGTTTATTGCAGATCAAGAATTATGCTTTAGAGTTTGCCATAGGATTCTGGTTTTATTTTTGAGACAGGGTTCTCATATTTGGAGGAACATAGTTCATCATTTGTACTAGCAGGGTCCTTCATAGACAGCCTTATTTTCAAACGTTTTTCCTTGTCAAGTTATAATGAATGGAATATGGACAGTAATACTGATTGTGATCTCAGGGTAGAGGAACTGCAGGATGACCTGCCACGGAAGCAGTTTTGGGTTATTGATATGGATGCCATAGGAGTCCTGCCTCTTTATCTCCAGCTCCTCTTTTATTTTTTTGTCTGTTGTCAGCTTCTTCTTTTAGTTTTGTGTTTGGCAGTCCTTGTTCTCTATTTGTTGGTTTTGGTTTACCTTTTGGCCTGTTGTCGGGTTGGCCACCCCCTTGTACCTTTCTTTTCCTTTAATAAAATTTTCCTTTAAATAAAAAAAAAATTATATATATATATATATATATATATATATATATATATGCTTTAATTATGCTTTAACATAATTATTTTAATTAATTATTTCATAATATATGCTTTAACATTAGTACCTATAAAATTATTATCGTCGCCATAGCCTACTCGCCCAGCGGACGCCTAGGCGGGCGCCTAATCGCCTAGGCGACTGGAAGGTGCTCTTGCCCCCAGCCTCGCCTAGCCGCCTTAACAACTATGGCCTTGCCTCAACACTCAGTGTCTTACCATTCTTATTGTTTAAGTGAGTCTCAGTGACTCTGTGTAAGATTGTTATTTAATTATTTCTAAATGAGAAAAGAAACACATATGATGGAGGGATGAATCTAAAAAAATAAAATATAGTAGAAATATATCCATTGATTATGATCTTTTTGGAGATTGTGTAGGAAACTACTATCCATTCCACAGTTTGAAAAGGCTTGGTGAGAATTTTTGAAAAGAGAATAAAGGGAGGTTCGGTATATGTCTATGCTTATTTTGGCGCCGGCAATAGGAGTGGATACTATCGCACTCCAAGACTTGAGTTTCGCCTGGACTTTTGAGATGAGTCAGTATATGTCTCTGCTTATATTATTTTATATATAAATGTACTCCATATTCTTTTATGTTACTATGATGAAAAACGTTGCACTCAATAATTATTATTATATATTTGTTTGACATTGTTACCTAGGCTATTCAAAAGTAGGTCATACTCCATAGTATTTTTCAGATAAACTAAACGCAAGGTTGGATGGGACTAGGATACCGTTATAAGATACCATTATAAGATCTTTAATGTTTATTTTTTTTGAATTTATGCGGGGAGAAGAAGTAAATAATTAAAACATTTAGTAAACTTAAATCATTTGTATTTTACATTTAAATGAAATGCTTCATCAAAAAGTCATGTCATTTTAATATTTTATATTAGGGGTGAGAGGGTACCAAATCGATATAGAAAATGTAGACAGACCAAATTAGGACTAAAACATTAAAAATATACCAAAATAGGACTTATGTTTTTATTTCTGAAAGAAGACTTAAAATGAATTTACATTACCAAATATGGTCATGTACATCACTAAAAAGTAGTAATGTGCACATGTACAGTGCCACATTACAACCACATTACCATAGTGCGAAGTCCTATTTCGGGAAAAAAAAATATGAAAATCCTATTTTGATACATTTTTCTATGTGTTAGTTCTATTTATGGTGATTTCAATACATAAAATTCCTAGAAAAAATCAAGAAAACTGAACTGGAAAGATTCTGCTAAAACACCAAACTATACCAAATCGATATTCACTCACAGTCAACTTCATGTTGCAGTTTTACGAGTGAAAACTAAGAAAGAATTAAAAGTGTTAGTTTTTGATGTCAACGGGAACCCTTGCAATTACAAAAAAAATGTGGTTTCAGTTTACCTTGAAGTTTTCCAAAAAAATTGGATTTAATTAATACATTTATACGTCCTTTTCAATATTTATATAAATGAATTTAAGTTAGTATAATATGACTATGTCGTATCTAACATTCTATATTATATTTACCTTTATTTTAAAATTATTTACTTAAAACAAAAGATTAGTAGAATTAAAAATAACATGCGTTCGACCCCGTGCGTGGCACGGGTCAAATACTAGTCCTTTAATATAATATTTAAGAGTTGATAGCCTAAAATTTTGACACGTGGCAAATTTAGAGTTCTATTTTTTTTTTTGACAAATAAGCTTAGAGCATATGCAGCGGCGAGGTCTTCCACTGACTCGCCCTGCCACATCAGATGCTTCCTCGATTAGCAAGGAGAAGAATGGGCATTCCACCTTGGTGAGCGAGGCATGTGCGAGGAAGTAGGTTCTTTTTCCCCTTTTTTTTCCTTTTCTTTTTTTGAAGATATGGGGTGTAGCAAATAGCAATCACTGGAATAGGAAGAAAAAGGGTACGGACGGATTGATGTTTTTTATACAAAAATGCTTTTATTAAGGCATTTAAATAAATTAGATAACATATTTTTAAATTTTTTTAATAAGGAAAAGTAAAAATTTTTTAATCTTTTTGAATAATAAGGAAAAACAATACTTCTTTTTAAATACTCTCTCCGTCCCCAATTTGATTACAAATTGCGGGTTACGGAGTAAAATTTTTTACTTTTTAAAATCATTTTATTTATAAATTGATATATCAATAAGCTATAAAAATTACAAGAGGTGACAAGAATATTTTAAAAAGCAAGAGGTGACAAGAATATTTTATTTTATCAAATACTTGATGAAATCGCGTAAACAAACAAAAGTTATCGAAAAGAGAGAGAAAAAAAGATTGTAATCTATTTAGGGACGGAGGGAGTAAATGTTATAGAAGTATTTTTATGATCAAATAAATTATTAAAATCATTTTTATTAATTAAAATACATTAAAAAGGTGTAAAAAATAATAAAAAGAGTGAGTTGCCATTGTAAGGCATGTAATTCTACTCATTTGCCACACGATGACTGGACTGATTTTAATTGGCTAAAATATTCCACGTCATGGTGTGGCATTCCATTTCTTACTTGCCATGCTCTTACACGTGTCTCTCCCTCATCAAAATTCTCAGACGCTTAGAGTCCGTCTTCTTCTTGGAAGGGCAATGCTAGGGGTACACCAACATGGGGTACCCCAAGTGTACACCAAGCCAACGCAGACACACACAGACACAAAGTGTCTGTGTTGCACAGACATTTTGTATCTGTGTGTGTCTGTGTTGACTTGGTGTACACTTGGGGTACCCCATGTTTGGTGTACCCCTAGCTTAATTCTTCTTGGAAATCTGCTTCCCTACGCAGTTTTTCAACGAATGAAAGGACAAAGGAAAGGAAATCTTTTCACCCTAATCTCCTGTTCCGCGTCTACTTGAAATCGAGCTCTGTGGAATCACCCTATGCATTTGGTTTCTCTTCTTCGCTTAAGGAAACTGCTCGGATGCCATGGAAATTTCCATCTTCTATCTTCCCCCTTCTTTGAGTATATCGAAATTTCCATTCTTAGTTCGCAAGATCCAGACTATCCTTTTTGGATGTTGGCGAAATTTCTTCTCCATGTGAAAGATCTCAAAATTTCCAATTTTGATCCTATCTATTGTAATGCTTTCTTATATAATCCGTTGTAGAAAAAACTTATGAGGCCAAATTACTCTATTTTTGTGCATTACAAATATTCCAAGTAAAATTACTTTGTATTGGTTCATTCAAAAATTACTTTATATTTGTACGCAACAATAATATGATTGTATTGTTTGTTGTCTTATATACTTTGTTGAACAAGAGACATATGAGGCCATGTTACTTTGAATTTGTTCATTTTTGCCAAACTTTTCATTTTTGCCAAACTGTTCATTTTTGAATTTGTTCATTTTTTCCAAACTGTTCATCTACTTTTTTATGACATTACTGCATATATGATCTCTATTTCATTTTTGAGCATTTGTCAAACTGTTCATTACTGCATATTTATAACATTTAACCTGGCCTCCTAAAAAAACTCAAAAGACTAATGCTCACAGTGAAGGTATATATGATCTCTATTTCTACTTTTTTATGACATTACTGCATATATGAGTTCAATGAATTAATTCTCTGTTTCTTTAATTTTCAAGCGCATATAACGCTACTTGATAACAATATTATGTTGTTATCTACGGATAAAATGAGTCGATTTTAGAAAGTATTCTCATGGATTTTTTTCGGCAAAATTTGGTATTGATACTGTTCAAAGGTCTTATTCTCCTAGGTGTTTTTTTATAGAGTTTTAGAATTTTGCATGTATAAATCAAATGTTAATACTTACCACTTTATCAACAAATGACACATTTCAGCTTATTGCATTATATTTTTTTATATCCTACATTCCTTCATATGTTTCACCGTTATTCAGCCTAAGAAAAATGGATTCTTTATTTAATACTCCATTTACATTCGCCCCTCCGTTAACTTTTTAATGAACTATCACAAATGTCAATTTGGTTAAAGTAGGAGACTTTTCTATGCTCTTTAGATGTTGGTTTAATGATTTTTATCCAAACCACAATGTAGGCTTTGATGTGTGTGATGTGATAATATTTAATCTTGCCTTTATAAATCTTTCTATCCTATATGATTCATAATTGGTTTTCAATTGCTTATGAGATCAATGTCTTGCTCCCATCTGTAATGGTTTCCCATTTATATGTTCTTTTTTTAGATCTCACATTGTCATTTGGATTTTTTGTCACTTCTAGGTCATACTTATGGACTTGGCATTCATTTGTACCTCTACTTTTGTTTTAGTTACCTCTTTAGTTTTTTTATTTCTTGATATGAGATTTTTTACGATTTAATCAAAATTTTTGGCCGTGAATAATTAGCTGCATTCTTTTATTATTTCAGGTAAATTTTAGAGGTCATACAAGCTTATTTTATGCTGAAAGTAGCTTCAAATTTTATATAGGATACCTTGGCTCTGATTTTTTTATTTTAACAAAATTGCAGATAGGATGATTCAGGACACGATACACCCGAGAAGAAAATAGATAGGAAGAGGTCAAAGAAGATAAAAGACATGGTGAGATAGCTTTGGTTGTTATTGTTTTTTATTCATCCCCAAGTAACATGTTTTGCTCTCGAGTACAGTTGGTTGTGATGAATGGCCTTCAAAGAACAGTAAGCTTGCGTTTCAGAAGTCCTTACAAAAACTCTAAAGACTAATGCTCACAATGAAGGCATATATCATCTCTATTTCTATTTTTTATGACATTACTGCATATATGAGTTCAATGAATTAATTCACTGTTTCTTTAATCTTCAAGCGGATATAACGTTACTTGATAACAATACTCATTCTGCTCTCATCTATGGATAAAATGAGCCAATTTTAGCAAGTTTTCTCCAAGGTTTTTTTGGCAAAGTTTTATATTGATGCAGCCTGTTCAAAAGGTCTTATTCTCCTAGGTGTTTTTCGTTGAGTTTTTAAATTTTTCCTGTTTATGTCAAATGTTAGTACTTAGTACTTACCACTTTATCAACAAATGGCAAATTTCAGCATATTGGATTATATTTTTTTATATCCTACATTCCTATATGCGGGTATACTCCAGTTCTTTATTTAATACTCAATTCACATTCCCCCCTCTGTTAACCTTTTTAATTTACTGTCACAAACGTCAATTTGGTTAGAGTAGGAGACGTTTCCATACTCTTTAGATGTTGGTTTAATGAATTATAATCCAAACCACTATGTAGACTTTAATGTGTCTGTGTGATACTATTTTTTCTTGCCTTTATAAATCTTTCTATCCTAAATGATTCATAATTGGTTTTTAATTGCTTATGAGATCAATGTCTTGCTCCCATCCGTAATGGTTTCCCATTTATAAATTCCTTTATTTTTAGATCTGGCATTATCATTTGGATTTTTTGTCACCTCTAGGTCATACTTATGGCATTCATTTGGCATTCATTTGT